GGAGTGAGGGGGGAGGTTGTGAGCCGGGGTGTATCCAAGTGGAGGAGTCCAGGAGAGGGAGCGTGAGGTGAGTGGGAGAGCGGGTCGGTCAGGTTGAATGGAGGACGTGTCTGAGTGAGGTCTGGAAATCCTATGGAGCACAAGTGTGGTATCATGACGTGTTGCGAAAACCTGGAGGTGAGTAACCAAAAATACCAAAAGTCACGAGAGAGTTCACAAAAACACTGTAGTCTCAAAAGTCCTAGAAAAACATGACGAAGGCTGGAAACGACCAAACTGCAGCAATCAGGGCTGCATGGTGACGCAGTGGTTAGTACTGTTGCCTCGCAGCATGATGGTTGCAGGTTCGAAACTCGGCTGCGGCCTTTCTGAGTGGACTTGCGTGTTCTCCCCAGGCATGCGTGGGTTTCCTCCGGGTACTCCGGTTTCCCCCACAGATCTCAACATGCCCTATAGGTTATAGTAAGTCGCTTTGGATAAAAGCGTCTGCCAAATAAATAAACATAATCATCCAGCGTCGAGCTGTGTTCTCCATCCACCTGATGTAGGAGACCCGCTGATTGCAGACCAGGTGCAGCTGGAGCACTCCCTCTCCTGCAAAACACAACTCAAGGTGGAAAGATGAGAGAAGTACCCCGGCTCATGACAGGAGACCTGCAGCTTTCTGCCTTTCTCCTCCTAAAGAGTTTAAATGTGGTGTGTCACTGAGATCCTCATGAAACACGATTGTATAAAAGAAAAGTCTCCTCCTCAAGCTTCAGTAGGGACATCGTTTCTGTACAAACTTCTTGAATGACTCCACTCTCGGCAGGTCTTTCACATGTTGGATTCTTCGCAAAGTCTCTTAAACAGCTATTTGAAATCAAGCGTTCAGCTTCTTATCATAGTTCCATGGTGATGCACTGCATGACTGCCAAAACTGCTCAAAAAGGGAAGGTGGTTATTTTAACCTTCTTATTATGTTACGGGTCAATTTGACCCGTTCCAGTTTTTGTGTTGACCATAGCGCTGATCATCTTCTATTTTTCTTAATGAAACTTTATGACTTTTTCTTATCTGGGGTCATGAACTGGTATGAGAAATATGGACACTTTGATGTGTCCTGGGAAGTCTTAGCAGTTTTTGTATACAAAAATGATGTTGCGGGTCATTTTGACCCACACACTTTAATGTGAGTAAAAAGCTGTTCAGAACAAAAATAAACATGACTCTTTGATGTGCTATGTTGTGATTGCTTCTGAATATACATTCACACCCAGAGGCCCAGGTGTGTGCGCGAGAAACTTTTTCTGCCCTGTTCTTGTAACTGATGTCATGTGATTTCAACACACCAAAAATGAGCTCTAGAAGGTTGACAGCTGAAGAAGCTTTATCTCAGCTTTTTAACTGGGATAGCAATGACGAAGATGTTTCAGAGACAGAGGATTTTTCAGAGGCTGAGGACAATGTTACTGATGATCCAGACTACCAATTTTCTGATGAGGATTCTAAAGAGGAGTCTTCTGTCATCGCTTCATCAAGTGAAAACCAAGGAATGCAGCAATCATCATCTACAGAGGGGGCATGGACATCTAAAGATGGTAAAATAAAATGGTCAACATCACCACACCGAAGTCGAGGCAGACTGTCATCTGCTAATGTCATCAAAATGACACCTGGTCCTACAAGATTTGCAGTCACACGAGTTGATAATATCCATTCAGCATTTCATCTCTTCATACCCTCTCCAATAGAAAAGATTATACTGGACATGACTAACTTGGAGGGGAGGCGTGTATTTCAACAGAAATGGAAGCCCATGGATCTGACTGACTTGCATGCTTATATTGGAATCCTGGTATTAGCTGGAGTATACAGGTCAAAGGGAGAAGCAAATGCAAGTCTATGGAATGAAGAGAATGGAAGGCCGATCTTTCGTGCAACAATGTCTCTTGAGACATTTCACAAGATATCTCGTGTGATCCGATTTGACAACCGTGAAACCAGAGCCAGTCGCTGTGAAAGAGACAAACTTGCTGCAATCAGAGATGTATGGGATAAATGGGTGGAGATTCTACCTTTGTTGTACAACCCTGGTCCCCATGTGACTGTAGATGAGCGCCTTGTTCCATTCAGGGGCCGCTGTCCTTTCCGACAGTATATGCCCAACAAGCCGGCCAAGTATGGCATCAAAATATGGGCAGCTTGTGATGCTAAATCTAGCTATGCATGGAATATGCAGGTGTACACCGGAAAGCTACCTGGAGAGGCATCTGAGAAGAATCAGGGGATGCGTGTGGTGCTGCAGATGAGTGAAGGGCTGCAAGGGCATAACATCACCTGTGACAACTTCTTTACATCCTACTGGCTTGGAGATGAACTTCAGAAAAGAAAGCTCACTATGTTGGGAACAATCAGGAAAAATAAACCAGAACTTCCCAGTGAAATTCTGAAGATGCAGGGAAGACCTCCACATTCCTCAAAATTTGTTTTCACCGAGAAAGCAACAGTTGTTTCATACTGCCCAAAGAAAAACAAAAATGTTCTTGTCATGAGCACAATGCACACAGATGCATCTCTGAGCACAAGAGAAGACAAAAAACCACAAATGATCCTGGACTACAACTCCACCAAAGGAGGAGTAGACAATCTTGACAAAGTCACAGCAACATACAGCTGCCAGCGCAAAACAGCTCGTTGGCCCTTGGTGATTTTCTACAACATTGTGGATGTGTCAGCTTACAGTGCCTTTGTCCTGTGGACTGAAATCAACCAACATTGGAATGTCGGCAAACTGTACCGACGTCGGCTTTTCCTGGAAGAACTGGGAAAAAGTCTTGTCACCCCCGAGATCCAGAGGCGAGCCAGACCAGCTCGATCCCCAGCAGCAGCAGCTCTCATTGAAAACGTCAGGTCTGCATCATCTGACCAATGTACAATGAATCCAGTGGATACAGGTGCAAAGAAACGAAAAAGATGCCAGGTCTGTCCCTCACGATAAGACATTAAAACAAGCACCGTTTGTGAGAAGTGCAAGAAGTGCATTTGCAGAAAGCACACAGTTACACTCTGTCCATCATGTGGACAACACTGAAAATGTTGAACATTGAAAATCTGAGAAAAATAAAAGTGTTTGTAAAGAAGGAAAACTTTTACTAACTAGTTCTTACAAATAGTTCTGGATATTCAAACTTTATTGTGTGTCTGTGTTTTAAATGTTTTTTCTAATGGAAAATAAAGTTCCTGTTTTATTGCAGTTTTTTTTACAGTTCTAAGTGAATTTAGACAGGGTGGGTCAAAATGACCCACAACATAACCAATGTGATTTTTTTTCAACATAATACAAGGGTTAAAGGGACTTTACGGACTTTTGAATTTTTATGTTTGTGATCGCCCCCTCAGGCCAAAAGTGTAACGGCAGCTTCAATAGTAGGCTCGTGCATGAGGTGTGCATGCTGTACGTGCACACTCAATGAAAATAACAGTTGAGACAGTCCCGTGTGTGTGTGTGTGGCCCGGAGGACAGAGGACAGGAGGACGCGCAGCTAATTAATTAAATAATTTGGTTCTGTAGCTTTCTCTTCAGCACAGCAGACAAAGGTTTATGATGGGTCAGTCCTCCTGCATGCTCAGATCATTCCCTTCCCTTGCTTGAAAAATTGTTCCAAAATGAAAGTTGAACCCACATCTTTTTTATCTGTGAATTCAATGCCGTTCGGCGAGTCTCAAATAAAAATTTGGGCATCTTACTGTAAAAAAATATACCAATAATGTAAAAAAGAAACTCTAAATGAACTATGTTCACATCCAGAATCAAACCCAGGTCTCCTGCATGGGAGTCAGACATCTTACAAGGTGAGCTACACTCTAGAACAGGGGTGTCAAACTCATTTTAGCTCAGGGGCCACATTGCGAGAAATCTAGTCCCAAGTGGGCCGGACCGGTAAATTAAAATCAACTTCAGATTGTTTTCTTTGTTTTAATACAATCAATATAAAACAAGGCTGGAGCCTGAGGACAGTGTATCCAAAATAGCACAAGTACAACACCTGAAGTGTACTTGAAAATGTTAAAAAAATAAATAAATAAAAGCATTCCTTAGTGATTCAAAGAGCTTACAGATCACATGGCTAGATCAGTTTCATGCAGCACTTCAAATATATTTGACTCATTTTACTTAACATCTTTTAGCTTTCACCAGCACATCAACATCAGACAGCCTGAGTGGCGGCCAACTTCAGGATGTGATTCAAGTTCCTGTGTGAGCCTTGAGCGCAGCTTTGTTTTATTTATACTCATTACAGAGGAAACTTGCTCACAAAGATAAGTTTATTTTCACTCTACATTGTAAAGTATGAAAATAAAGTTTACACAACCATCTCGCGGGCCGGATTTAACCCGCTTGCGGGCCGGATTCGGCCCGCGGGCCACATGTTTGACACCCCTGCTCTAGAAACATTCATAGTGTCTGTAACTTTTATATCCTTGATGACAGCTGAATCAACGTCAAACCAAAGAACGGTTCGGAGTGAAAATGGCTATTTTGTTGCTAATTTGCAGGAAATATCTAGAAGAAAGTTCTACAGAAAGTAGCTAAGGGTCCTCAGAAATGTAGCTAGCTTTGTCACTAGGCGTTAGGAACAGCGACAAAGTGGCACTGCCTCTCTCTCTGCTGCTAAAGCTACGGATAGCAAATGCTACGGGCTATGTCTGAGCGTGAACGACCCGAGCATCTCTCTTTTTCTGTGATTTTACAGAAAAACAGGCAATCACAGTAAAAATGCCAGGGCTCCTTCTACAGGACCAGGGCATTGCAGGAGAATGTATGAAGAAGACATTTATTATTTCTATACATGTTTTGGCTGTCAAACTTCCATAACGTCCTTTTTAAGAAGTGATGCAATGCAGAGCAACCTCATGGCAGGGTTTGGGCCTGACTCTACCTAATATCTGGTAGAGAGCGCCCTCTGCTGGACATAACCCTTTTTCTTCATAGCTCAGAAGAATAAAAACAAACGAGCTTTATTTTTTAATGTGGTTTATTGACATGTGTATAGCGATTGTCTGTGCACCAGACTGTACAGAAGAACATCTGAAATAATACAAAACAAAACCACTACATGAGATTAAGTCAAAGGAATGCATTGTTCCATTTTGAGGTTTGCACGCTGTGTTATACGTTAGCTACAACTCACCTCGGTGAAGGAGAGTCTAGAAGTTGAGGAGGTTTAGGTCTCGCCACCTGAATTAAGGGTCACTGATAAATACGATCACAAAAGTACACGTGGGATGATTTTGTGGTATCTCTGGTGGTATTAAACAACAGTGTAAAGTTTTCACCAAAACTAACATTTTAAACTAAAACACCAGTAAAACAACTAGTTGAAAAGTAAAGAAAAGGTAAAAATGCTAAAAAGAAAACAAGAAGCAGATATAAAGGTGCTGCAAGGGTTCATCCATCCACATGCCAACATGTTGTTTATACGCAGATATATGTAAATATATATCTTCATAAGCAGGATTTATTAGATTTGACATGATTAATAAAGGCAGCTGAGAGGGATTTCATTCCCTGCCTGTTTTTTATAAACATAGTTTTAGATGCACAAACAGGATTGGCCCACTTCTCAATTGTTCAGATGCAGCAGTCGTCTCACATGCTCAGTAGCAGCTTTAAAACAAGCACGTGAGAACCAGTCAGACTAAAAGTTCATCAAAGGTGTGTCTGCTTTTCTCACTTAATAACTTAGATGTGTGTTTAGCTATTTAAAAACGTTGTTTGATTCCAAATGTCTTCATCGGGCTTCCATCAGGCCTTAAACTACTCTGAACATTCCAGTCTTACCTGTTGTAGACGGGATCCTGAACGGCCACCAAGACCTAACGTACAAGCCTACTCATTAATGTTTTAATAAGGGCTGCATTCCATTTAGGAGAAGCTCTACTCCTTAGTGTTCAGAACAGCCAGTGTGCATAGCTACAGAAATGAGGCGCAGCTAGTTCTCCAGCATCTTTCCCACAGTTTCGAGTCACTATTTCATCTGTGAAATACCTCTAAAGGTTTCACAAAGTCCCATAGTCACCATCACACACTGGTGAAATTATATCTGCATTTGACCCTTCCCTGCGGGAGAGGTGAGCTGCAGCAATGGCTGTGCTCAGGAACTATTTGGAGTTTAACCCCCCCCAATCCAACCCCTTAAAGCTTAGTGTCAACCAGGGAGGCACTGGGTCCCATTTTTAAAGTCGTTGGTATGAACCGACCGGGATTTGAACCTCGTCTCCCAGTCCCAGGGTGGACACTATGCCAATAGGCCACTGACATGGTTTGACCAATCATGAAGCAGGAATATTTAGCCTGAAATGGAATTCTGTAGTTATTTACCAGTGTAAGTATTACCTGCACCAATGAAAGGTAATACTTGTAGTACATCCAGTAATACATACATTTTACTGCCAAAAATCCCAATTAAAAAAAAAAGGTTTTAAAATATCTGCAGTCGACTTTGATCGTGGCAGGTTTGGACTAGCCTTTAGCTTATCAGTCTTGATGTGCAGAAAGCCATCTACAACAGGAAGGAGTGATTCTTTTACTCTTACAGGTTTCTTTGTGAAAACTGTGATTAAAATGGCTGAAATACCACTTTCACAGCTGAGTCTGAGATCACTAATCCTGAGCTACAGTTAATTATCAACACATCACTTATATTCACCACACAGTACATCTTATATTCAGAGTTCACATGGAAAATGTCACATTCTGATTACACAATTCTTGTTTTTGTTACTTGTAAATGTTAAGAGATGTGTTTGAGGACACAATGTGAACAAATGTTAGCATGAACACATTTGATAGGTGGAAACATCGGCATAGTAGTACAAGAGGTCTGTCTCGTTTAGAAAGATCTGTTGAGTAATCAAGTATAAGGATGTCCTAAACACTTTTTACTTTTATTTTGCTATAATAATAAAAAAAACAGCTTCAAACTAAATGATCAACCGAGGACTTGGAAGACAACTTGATCTGTGAAAACAAGTTTGAAAAAACAGTGTGCAAAGTATCTGGATGTGTTGAGTCGTGGCTAAATGTGTGTCTGCTAAGCACACGTTAGCATGACAGGGTATCTGCGGGTTTAAGGGAGCCAAATTTAAGACTTTTTAAGACCTTTTTTAAGGCCACTTTGACCAAATTTAAGCTACTTTTATAATTAAATGTAAGCTATAATTTCCAGCTATTGCCTGGAACCGGTGCTAACCACGTCGCGAACGTGGGATTAGCCATCCAGCTACCATTAAACTTCCCCATGGCGCAAGCTCCCGCTAGCTTAACCAGCTAATGTGCTCATCTAAAAATAGCCCCCTTTCACAACCAGCTGAATGTGTACGGTTCCGCTTACGGCAACATCACACACAAAAATCCTGAACACTAACTAGAAATTCACAACATTTTTATAGAAATAAAAGAATCTTGTTTAGTAAGACCTTTGGAAACTGTATTTAAGGATTATTTGTCATTTTTAAGGATTTTAAAGGCCTTAAATGTTGAAAAGCTAATTTAAGACTTTTTAAGGACCCGCCCGCGGATACCCTGGCATGAGTGTTCAGTTACATCACCGCCTTTCATACTTGAGGCTATTACTCGAAGGACCACGCTTTCGGACTCAGCTCACCAAACTATGCCGTCATATTCAGTTACAAAAATAGAATCACAATATAGACCATTCGATATGGAGCACCAAGCGAGGGCTAAACTCGGCCCAGTATTTGGCTACATTCATTGTCTGGGCAACGCTTGATGGTAGCAGTAAGTGGACACAGTGTTGGTGATGTTCTCTCACTCGTGGCTCTCCTAATCTACCACACGGACTCAACTCAACACAACTCACCTGCACAGAGTAAAGAGAAATCAACTGTCCGTTAGAAAAATAGTTGTTTTAACACTGAACATAAAAAAAAAAAATCCCCCGCTCATTCACCCAATTTTTTTTAACAAAATAGTTTTTTTTCCCAAACAAAGCAAATGAACTTTTGGGGGTATACGGGATGAAACCCCAACATAGACCCTGTTTAGCACAATTCAGCAACTAGAAGTGTGTTCCACCTTCTTTCAGCACAATAATGACAAGAATGCAACTAGACATACTAAATAGTCGCATATTTGGCAGCTTGTTTTTGTTTGAACTCTGTTACTTTGGTTACACCGTTCACACCTGCATCGTTGAACCAAACACACTTCTGGTTGAGCTTAACGCCTGGAAACGGACAAAACACCATGCTAAACATAGCACAACATCTAGCTTATCTATACAAGTGTGGTTTTATTGCTATAGTGTGTTGTGAAGCGAAGTTTACCCGGTTTGACGCCCCCAGCTTTGTTTATCCTCATCCTGCTTCAGAATTAAGGTCCAGCGTACTGAGCCGCAAGGATGAGTTGTTCACATCTGAATGTTTCAGAAGTTAGATGACATTTTGATCATTTCATACATGAAATCATCATTCCAAAGCTGAATTTTGTATTTACTCAGGTTATCTTTGTTTGCTGATCTGAAACATTTAAATGGACAATGTGTAACTTTTATGGTTAATCTCTGGAAATTTCCATCAAAAGCTTGTTGAAGATTAATTAAATGATGCCCAGTTGTTGAAAGAATATTGGCGGCTTCTAAACATGCAACCATAAAAATCAGGTATAAAACACAGGGGATTGAGTCTAAGTCTCAGGGCGACGCCATATTAGATGCAATGTTTCCCTCTAAGGGAGCCCTTGAGGACAAAATGCATTTACTGATTTGTAACAAACGGTTACATAATTTTCACCATTCATGAACGTTGTTGTTTAACACATTTACCTCTTTACTCATTGCCACTGATGAAAGGGAGTCTGATGTTTGTCATTTTGCTGAAGTTTGAATTCCCCAGGGCTTTTTGACCCTAATGGGGATCTGTTGCTAAGGTCTAAAGCCTGACTCATGCTTCTGCGTCTGCGTCAGCGCGGAGACACGCAACATCCTCGCGGGCCTGCTGGAGAGCTCCGCAAGGACGGACGGAGTCGAGTTCTCTTTTCTAAACATCCATCCGTCGAGACGGACAACACAAGCTTGTGATTGGTCAGGACGCCGCTGTCGTCTACGGCGCCGCCGTTGCACCCTCAAAAACATAAAGAGAGCCGAGGATAACAAGCGGCAGACACGGAGCAGCTTGAAGAATACCTCGCGAAAAAACTCTAAAAACATGAACGTTTAATTCCCCGTGACTGGAGGAGTGAAAAGATGCGCAGCAAGCGTTTTATTTGTGGATGGAAATGACAGGAAACGTGGGTTTAGAGGTGGGGAGCGCATGAAGAGGTGGAGGAGAATGAGAGACAAATTTGTACTTGTTAAAAAGTCTCTTATATACAAAGAAAACACAATATAAACACACTATCTTGGACCGATACATGACAGGATACCACAGAACAGCGCTACGCCCTCTGCTGTCCTGCCGGGGAATTGCTTTGCAACGCTCCCCAGGAGACGGAGAAGCATGAGAGCAAAACGCTTCCGTCAATCCGTGCGTGTCTGTCCCTCGCGGAGCGGACGGAAAAGCATGAATCAGGCTTTACTCCAACACAAAAATACAGCTTTTAGGTATCTACTGCCCCCTATCGCCAGGAAAAATACACACGGTCACTTTAAGGGTGACAAAAAAAGCAAAAATAGAAGAAATATTTTTACACCCCCGAGGCTGCTAGAGAGCTTTCTTTACACCAAACACCACTCAGGTGATGTCATTCACAAAGGCGTCTGCATAGATTTCACACTAACAGAAGGTGTGAACTCAATCTGCATAAAAGGTACATACATGTATTTATAACCCATTAGCCTTCATGGATCACTGGGAATTTTCTCTGGGAAGCAGCAAAGTTTCCCAACATTGTAGCGCTTTTAAAGCGACATTAAGCAGTTTTTAACACTTTAACCAATTCCTTTAAAAGTGGTTCAGTGACTGAGTTGGCAGAAACTTTACCCACTTCACTCGAGACACGACTGCATTCCTCTGCTGAGCAGAAAAGTTTGCTTTTTTTGTTGGCCTCGTAGAGCCTGGAAGTAAAGGTCAGAGTTATGTCTTTGGAGGCGAAGCAAAGAGCTAAAAACGGAGCAAACATAGGGGCAGGTTACGCTAGTAAAGCAAGCTAAAAGAGGATACAAAATCACGGACTGATGGTGACCTGGCTTTGTTGCTATTGGACTTGTAAATAATAATATTTTTTGTCCAACAGTGTGGATATTTTGAATTTGTGACTTACTAAGTAACAGAGTTTGCTGATGTTAGTGCTAGCTCATTGGCAGTGCTAGCTGCAGCAGGCTGATGCAGGTTTGTTTACGACAGTTGTAATTCCACTTTCAACCAGTAGGGTGGAGAGGCAGGAAAATACTTAGTGTTACTTTAACATGGCTCATTTAAACCACGGAGCTGAGAATGTGTTTGTAAAGAAACTGTGTTTAAATGTCAGCCGTAGAAATGCCAGAAATTATAAAAGCTGCAAACGAATGTTGTCAAAGTGAGTCAAGGCCTTTCGCCTTAGACGTGCAAAAAAAGTCACATAAGTCAGCTGGGGTAAAAATAGTACAGCACGTCTGAGCGGTTTCAATGGATATAGTCAAAATTCTTATCTGAGCATCATTTTATAGTTAATGTTACTTCTGAGATGTTTTATTCAAATCCGACTGAATTGATGTTTGGGTGAAATAAAAAATATATTTTTCTACACGATAGGGAATTAGACGTAACTTTAGAGGAAACGCTGCATCAGCACCGATTACTCCTGACCTTGAAGTACTGAAGGATAAACAAGGGGACAGACTCGTCAGCACAGAGCTACATTCGAGAGCAAGACGATAAGAGAGCTTAGTGGTATGCTCAGAGAGTGCAGAGCAGGATGAATTACCGCCACACGCTCATCAACCTTTGCAGCCTGAAAGAGGCCCGGGCAGCTTCCTGTGGTTTCTGACGAGCCGCGGCTAGTCGATGGGGCCCTGGAAGATGAGCCGTGTCCAGCCAGGTTTACTAAGGGCAGCGGAGCAGAAGGGGCAGATGGGTCTGAATGCGTGAGTCCCGTGGGGCAGAGGAGTCTCCGCCCAGTACCTGACTGTCCTCTCTGAGCAGACGTGGCCACAGGGCACAAAAGCATGAGTGGGAGCTCCGGCATCCACGTACACAGCAGGTTCAGAGCCCAGCCACAGGGGCACGTAGGGACCTACGCTTCTGCACAGCGGGCATTCCCGACGGGCAGTTGGCCCGTCGCCCTCTGCTGGCTCCACCTGTCTTTCCGACCTCTGGCCCCAGTCGTGGCGTCCATGAACGTGACCACAGGCGAGGTAGACCCAGGGCTGACGCTCTTCAAGGCTACAAGAACACAGCGCAGTCAGCAACGCACGCAGCAGCTCTAATGTGTGTAAACGTATTTTCAGAGACCCACCTGTGGCTGCGCGGGAGGCTGGGAAAGGCCAGGGTGCTGAGGCCTACAGGACACTGGGGTCGAGAAGCATTGAGTTCCTGACGGAGCGCCTCCAGGTGGCGCAGCGTGGGAGCACGCATGAGTCCTTCGCCTGTACGCCACAACAGAGTGGCACCGCAAAGGTCAACCAGGGAGCCGTCCCGCAGAGCGCTGCTCTCACCCTCGGCCTATGGAGAAGGCACAAATATGAAACCGCTACACCGGAAAGCAAAACTCACATGAAACCAAATCAGTGACCCACTAGTTTGCCTCGGCTGGGCCCGGAGCGGGTTTCCCTCAGGGCGTAAACGTCTCCACACACAGAAATCTCCCTCCACAAGCCCTGCTTTGGGTCCTCCGGGAACCCCTCTGGGTGCATCACCAACACCCCGTTGGTGGTGAGGCCGTCCATGTGACCGTCGGGATTTTTCCATTTGGTTGCTTTCTCCTAAAATACGAAGTTATAAATAAATCAGCGTGTGAGAAACAAGAATAAATAAATAATGAATAACTTCATCCATCTATTTTAGGATTTGGACAAAAATCTTCACGAGTCCGCTCACCCCGAGGAAGATATTTTTGGATGAGTCAAAGCCTGCAGCGTAAATGCGTGCAGTGTAGGGGGGGTTGCGCTCGCACACCACCCTGCAGGCGAAGCGGGAAATCGTGCTGGGGGCAATGGAGGGGTCCTCTCCTTCCTTCCCTCCCCCGGAAGTGTCGGTCACCACAAAGTCAATGGGACTTTCTGTGGAGCGTCCAATCTGCACGGTCAGGCACACAGACGTCATTCACCGGCATGTCCGCGTTTGAACCAGCTCTCAAACGCACTTACGTAACGGAAAAGTCACTGCCAGCAGCATTTTAAAGGCTCTAATCTATTAATTGATTGCAGGAATGGCCTAAATCCTGCTTCAAAAACATTTTATTACGTTATAGTCCGCTGTGAAAAAAGAGCAGCCATCCACTAAATAAATAAAATAAGAACAGAACTGTCTGAATAAAAATAGATTCGTACACACAAGCCTTTATCTTTAACACTTTGAGCTGATCCAAAATTATTCACCTACTTTTAGTATTACTTTGATGTGGCCTTACACAACTGTTCATCCAGGACAAGCATGCACACAATCATGGATGTGTCACTTAAATAAAAGGAGGACAGCTGTGTTTGTTACCTGGAACATGTCTGTGTTGTTGTCATGGCAATACTCCACCACCACTGTTTGGTTACGGGACAGGGTGAAGGAGATGCTGTGCTGCCCCCTGCTGTGAATAGCCTGCAACAACAATGCAGCAACCAGTTGCATCGATCTGCACATTTTCTAGAACGGCCTTTTAATTAAGAACACACAGCTAAATATATGTGTAAATGCATGCCGTACGTGCCGTGTTAGGCTGATTAAGCTTATATTAACACATTGATACACAGATAAGACCACGTCCACCCATCTGCACAATTATTCCTCCTTCCTCTGACACACAAACAAAAGAGGCTCAGAAGAAGGAAACTCCTACACGCTGTTTCAACATTCAGCACACATCCCTGCACGTGCGCACATACCTTGGTGTCCTGCGGTGTGTTGAGGATGTGCACAGCACTGGGTTTGACCCCATTGGCCTTGGCCCTTCGGTAAAGAGCAAAGCGGCTCTTTCTGCGGCCGCGATCTCCACTTGGCAGACAGCCATTGTACCTGCAGACAAAACAAGAGGAAAAAAAAGTAAACACGTCATGTTTGAGATTAGACTCCAGCTGTGAGACCAAATGTACATCTACTTCCTTTTACCAGGCTTAACTCCAACTGTTTGCTTTAGGGATGGGTACCTTTGACATTTGAATCGATCCGGTACTAATTCCCGGTACCTAGGAAGCGATACCGGTACTTAACGGTACCAATTTTCGATACTTTTGAGTGTTTAATATTTTAATTCTCTTTTATAATTAAATATATATTTTTCTCAATGTATAACCATATTTGATAAATATCACGATACATAACATTCAACTGTTTGTATTTTAACATCGTCCTTGTAGTTTTATAAGCTAATAATTAAACTGAAGCAAACATCTTTACTGTGAACTAAATTTACTGTGTATCTTCATTCCTTTTACCGTCTTTTTTCATTTGATTTTTCCTACTGGGAAGTTAGAATTTCCGAGGAGAAAGCGAACGCACCATTAGCTGATAACAATGGTGGCATAGGAAGCTAACATATCAAGCTAACGTTATCTTAAACAGTTTATTTAGCTGCTGGAGCAGATTAAAACGACGATGCCTCACACTTAGATCGTTGTCGCTCGTTTCGTCTTCACCCAATCACCCGTCGCATTTAGTAAAGTGAAGCCAAACTTTAGAGCGCGTTCATGTTCTTCTAGTCGGAGATTCGGAGTTCCGAGGAGAAAGCGAACGCACCATTAGTGAAACGGAAGCAAACAAATCAAGCTAACGTTATCTTAAACATTTTATTTACCTACCGGAGCAGATTAAGATGAGGATGTCTCACTTAGATCGTTGTCACTGGTTTCATCATCACCCAGTTACCCATCACATTTAGTGAAGTGGACCCAAGCTTTAGCGTGCGTTCTTTCTACCATGCTGCTCTGTTTACAACTGGCTCGCAGCGACCGACAACATAACGCTCTTGCGCATGCGCAGCTGTCTAGGCAAGTTCTTGTTATGAAGGACGGGTACCGAAACGAGGCACCGTTTCAAATGAAGTGAATCGGTGCTCAGTCGGTACTATGGAATTCGGTCGGTACCTCAAAAAGTACCGAATGCGGTACCCATCCCTAATTTATAATAAAAGCCTGCTCCCTGGACTCTGAGTGCTGGATGATTAGCTGCTTTGAAACACACTATGAAAATACTGATGGTGACTCGTGATTTTAGCTGTGAGAAATGTTGGTAAGATTAGTAAATGCTAATCAACAGAAAATAACAGATCCAGGAAAAAACACCCAGACGCTCTCCAGACTTAAAACCAAAGAGGATTTGTAATCTCTCCAACAAGTTCAGGGTCTGACCAAAGATCTACCCCCAGTGAGACGTGCCTGGAAAATCTCCAAAGGGACACATCTGAGAGGAAATGTTATCTGATGTCGATGAAGCTGCTCCAGGATAACATAAAACTGAAAATGGTGTAAAGCTGAATAAATGAACAAACACCAGGAATCGTAAAACTCGGGAAGCATCAGAATGGTAGAGCTTTTTTTTTTTACGTTTTTAAAACAAAAGTCCAATCAACGAGCACGACTAAGGCCATGTACACATGTAGCTGGAGTTTTGTAAAACTAACACCCCACCCCCTTAGGAAAAAAAAACTAGGTCAACACAACCTTGTTTTCAGCAAAAAAATTCAGTGCATTGTGAAGCATATTCATAGGCATGCTAAGCCAGTAGATGGCAGTAGTTCCCCAAATCATCTTTGCTCTTGCTGTAAAACACTCCTTGGAATAACTTGGTGGTGGGCAATAACCATCCTTAAAGACCTGGTTCACCTGATTTTTCTGCACATGTTCAGTGGTTTCTAGTATTGACCCTTTGCACGTGATGTCACGCCACTCATGGCGCCAGCTCCTTTGCCACGATGGTTGGCAGAAAGACCGTTTACACACGTTGAAACTCCTGTGATGCTCGTGAAAACAAGCCAGTTTGTAGCTTTTTATTGCATTTATTTAGCTGATTTTACAATAAAATGGTAAAAGTTTGCTAAGCAGTTGGCTACACTAACAAATGTAAACTCAACTTTTTTTAAATGTTAAAGGTAGAGTGGAGGATCTTTTTTTTCTGGGTGGGTCATGAACCATTGGGCTGCATAACTGTCAATCATTTTGGTGATCCCTTCACGCAAGGCCGTCGTCGTACGTGCTCGTCGCTGGGTAGTTTTCACTTCCTGCACATGTACAAAGTGAAGCTTGGGCTCAATAATATTGTTCCAATGATATGTGGTAAATTTACATTGTTTAATTAGTATGATGAGTGTCGCCGTTATGAGACATTGTCTCCCATACTGTCCCAATTCGCTTTTGAAAGTACCTCTTTCTATGAGCCCCATGTAGGTAAATCTTCCCACACGTGAACTGGGCTTAAACCAGTAGAAACCAGGCTAAACAGGCAAAAACAACCTCAGTCGCCACTCTTCCTTTCTGTTCAATACCCCCATAATTCCCTGTTCCCCCATCTAGGTGCGCTACTTCTTCTCAGGCACTACTTTTCCCTTTGTTTAGTACTCATGTCGCTCACTGTTTACATGCTTTTGCCAACCAACATGGTGGACCCTCGTGATTAGGTGATGTAGGTGCAAAAAGTCAGTAAATGATTGTGGGGGAAAAAGCTCCAGTGCTGCTGTTTCAGGAACTAGAAGTGAACAAGAAGTAAGATGAAGAAGGCAGGATATGGAGTAGGGCGATTAATTAAAACAATTAATTGCATATGCAATTAAATTGTGATGTGACAAAAAGAGATTTTCTTATCGCGAAGGCTGCAATTTGACTGACAGTGGTTAGCACAATGCTAGTATACACTGAAAAACCCATAGGGATGCTAATGCTAATATCGCCGATTACAGTCTTACAAATTACGAATTAGGAACGTGCCAAATTATTAAATTTGGAGTTTAATAAAAAGTAAAAACTGCTATTAATCAAATAAGTACAGACAGATATTTTAGTAAAGCTAAAAAACTGCAAGAGACTTCAACTCCACTGAGTTTTGGCTAGCAGCTATGAACGTAACTGAACTGCAGAAGCTCTACATGGACAAGACGTCAAAAACTCTAAACACAAAAGACTTCAATAAACGGGACGCTTCTTACATTTTCACAGTTGATGCTTATACCCATTGTAGTGACTATCAAGTCCCACTTTTAGTCACCCTCGGGTGCGGGTGGAGGCAATGACTCGCTTCAACAATATTGTCCAGGCAGAAAGCGGGTTTGGGATTATTGTCCCATTTATTGAATATGTTGACGATCACAAGCTGGGTCCAGAATGGCTATTTCATGTCCAGGTTTATGTAAATGATGAAAGTAATAACGGCAAATTAGATGTGGCATATGAAACCAAATGAAGCGGTAAAAACCGTGTGACCTCCCGTCACCCAGAAAACGCCAATGCACTGCAGCCTCAACACCTTTATAGGCTCCGCAGTGCCACCAGTGGTCAAAGGAAATACAAACCATAGTGTAACAAACTGAAATGTACATAAAACATTATCAAAATAAACTTAGACCATAATATAATCTAAACCAAAACAATATTGGCTCCTACACCCATGTTCCTTTAAGGCAGCGGTTCCCAAACTTATTTAGCCGCGCACCCCCTTCTATGTCCCGACCATGTCGACGCACCCCCCCCCCCCCCCCCCCCCCACATCGGGGCATGGCTCTCTCTCTCTCTCTCTCTCTCTCTCTCTCTCTCTCTCTCTCTCTCTCTCTCTCTATATATATATATATATATATATATATATATATATATATATATATATATCAGATGTCAAGCTAAACAGACAGGGTTAAAAAAATTCCCCATCACTTTCATTTTTTAAATAGTAATTAATAAACATTCGATACCATTACAATTTCCTTTGATTTCATTTTAAATAAATATTTAGAGTACCCAGGTAGCACATAAAGAATGCAATTTAACGGTTTTCTTAAAGTAGGAACGTTTAACCTGTGCGGCCAGAGCTCTCTCCTTCCTTCTTCTCTGTGTAAACCTGAACTGATCACCCACTTGTGCGTAATCAAATGTCTATAGGGGAAAAGATATAGCCATGATGTTCACTTTTGCCTCAGACCGACTTATTGCTGTTTTATGGTGTGGCTGAATCTGCGATCCGCTGTCATGCGGACCGGAATAACACATGCTGCAGTAACATGAGATGTGGTCAGGTTCATGAGGAGTCACTGGCTGTAGCGGACCCGACTCATCCCAGAAGCTAATATCTTAATTTGACCTTGAATGAAAAATAACCTCTTAAAAGTTTTTATCACGGTGGAGGCAGTGCTCCTTCAGTCTGACGGCGCGCCGGAGTTAAAGCAGCGTGTGCGCTTATTGAATCTGTGTGTGTGTGTGTGTGTGTGCGCACGCGGCACAGCTGCTCAAGTCACCGCGTCTCGCGCTATTTAAACCAATGTTGTAAAATTCCTTCTGCCCAGCCCAGATGTGCTCACTTGTGCACCCGTGAGCCGTGGTTCAGCCGGAACGCGTCTGACCTCTGACAGACGCACTCTGAACTTCAGATCGTCAGCGCGCTGTTAATAGCCTGAATGGGAATCATTTCTTGTTATTTTGTTACATCCACAATGTTCTGTGTGTGAGGTTTACAATGTCAGAACACCTGCATGAGACAGGTGTTAATTACAATCTGCCAGAATGACTCGCCACCTTCAGATTCCTCCAACACCGTTAAAAATGATCAAATACGGAACATATCGGCGTGCGCAGGCCAGAGCGCTGAAGCTCAGCGCATTGTTATTATGAAGCTAGGGCACAGGTGGAGGACACGCACGTGCAAAAATATACTTGTTTTCAATTACAATTATTGTGCCCACTTACTTTTTCTTTGGCCCACCCACAAATGAGTTTCTACGCTAATGGTGACATATGACCATAGACTGTACATACAGACTTCAGCATATGACAGACTTCTCTGAGCTCCGCAGCCATTACACTTTTCACCTCGCGCACCCC